TATGACACACTGAGACAGCTGTGTCTCATTCCAATGTGTTCCAATGCTTTTCCTTAAAATCACATCAAGTACTATTAACAAAAAAAGGCAGCTTAAAAAAAAATAAAGCTTAAAATAACTTTAAAAAGTCAAGGATACTTTTTTTCCCTTTTTTTTTTTTTCTCTTTTGGGATATCTACCTTGATCTGCTACTTCTAAATCTAACGCTCAGGAAGACATTAACCAGTCAAGAATAGATGTATTCTTCATAAGCTGCCATAAAATGACAGTTGTGAATTTATTCATCTTAGTTTCTCCCTTCTTTTGGTCCAGTTTTGCAGTTTATTCCTACAATATCTATGTTTACTTCTGTAGGTATTAATTTTATCAAATTCAACTTTCCTCATAATACGCCTGAGAACAACAATCCACTGAGTGAAGTTTGCATATCTCCTTACCCTGACAGCATCTTTTCTAACTACTTAAAAATCAGCATTAAGATGCAAAAGTGAGAGGATGAATTTGATGACAAAAGGGATTTCCATCTAATTTCCATGGTACCACATTTTATAGATAGTATTATGTTCAGTGCATTAAGAATGCATTATAACAAACTTAGGTGCTCTCTTCTGGGAACATGGTAGGAAAACACTGAATATAGTTCCAGTAAAACAAGAAATATTTGTTTTTCATATTGTAGTCGTTTGGTCTGGGCCTTCCTTGGTGACCAGTTTGTAACTGTGAGGAGATAGCTGAAGTTCTGCTGTTCATTTCTCTGTGGTGGTGGATGGCTGTTTTTGCAGTTAATCCAGAGGGATTTTAAACCAGTTTGGGCACCTTTGGGCTTCCCAGTAGCTGAGGTGGGACAATATGCATGGTAGGCTACAAGCTCATCAAGGAAGGTATCCAGCTTCTTCTGCACTCTGAATGTTTTCCCAACACAGTGATGCTGCTCTCACCACCTGAGATAGCAAAGGTCAAGCCCAGCACAGACATATCTATACAGTATGACTTCCAGAGAAGGAATATTACTTCCCTGGCACATCCAACCCTAAAGGCACAAAGTCGATTAAATTTCTGCTTTTATTTCCATACAAGTAGAAAAAGAATGGGATATTTTGGCAAGACAGGCATAACCCTGCAAAACATGATACATTATAACAGACTGTTTCATATGAACTGGGAGGAAAATGTGAGAAGATTAATTTTTAATGTTTGTGCTTAAAAATGTCTATGATGGGGGGCCATAGATAGAAGAGCTTGTCATTTAAAATCAAAGCTACTTGTTAAGTCTGCTAAACCAATACACATGCAAGATCCAAGAGCCAGATGCACTTGTAGCTAGATGTCTAATTCCCACTGACATCAAAAACAGGAATAGTCACTTATGAGTGGAGACCCTGGCAATCAACACAAACATCACCTTTTACACAAATGTACACCAACTCAGAGATTTTTTCATGACATTAAATTTCCTTTCAAGTGTAACTTTTGACTATGGGAAGGAGTACCAAAGCAAGCAGAACAATATTTCTTTCCAGTAAGGGGTTTTATACATTTTGACTTAAGGTAACTTATGGTGTATGATTTTAGAGTTTTTAATCTATGTGTCATTTGTTCAGAAGAAATCCCCAATCCCATTTTATAAACTCTAGCCATATTAATAAAATAAACCACTTTTGGAAGTTGTTCATAGCATATGAACTAGTCATCCAAAAAACCCATACTTGACTGCTTTCTGAATATAACATGGTTCCTGCAGACTGTAATGGCACTGCATCCTGATGCCTGTTTTAAAAAGCTTTTTTTTTAAGACTCTGGGCATGGCAGAGACTCACACACATTTGCTCAGCAGAATTGAATGTTACCTTTAAGCTTATTTTAGCCAAATTAATATAATTGCTGGGATCATTTAGATTCTTTTTCTCTATGTTCCATCTCTACTCAAAAGAGAAAGAGCAACTTCACATTCAGATATACATTGCCTTAAATTTTCTGCCTTTTGTCCTCAATAAACCTCCATGTTTTGGGAGGTTTGCTTGTTTGGTTTTGGTTTGGGTTTTGTTTGTTTGTTTTTTGGCTTGGAAGGTTTTTGTTTTGCTTTTTTTTTGTTAAGTAAGTCTCATATTCAAAGCACTAGATTCGTATTTAAGCATAAGTTCCATTCACCTCAGTGGGTCTAGATGGGATTTTTGCCTCAGGTAAGACTAGAAGATGCAGACCTGACATTCATGTGTTTTGACAAGAACATCTTCACACATTTTGAGTTCTTCAGTGCTGACAGTATTGATCTTTTTCCCCCCTACATACAATCAACTCAGTGCATTGAATATTTAATAATACAGGTGATATAAGGACCCACTGTCTGACTCATATAAATAACATAATAATTCTATAGTGTATGCAAGGCTAAATGAATTTTAAAAATCCCATATATATCAGTGGTAATGTAAAAGAAGCTAGAATAAAATGGATATTTGGAAAAAAAGAATCAATTTTTCAATTTTAAAATATTTTGCTGCCACCTTATGGAATTGAATAAATGTGCATCTCAGTGGTTTGTAAAAGGGACACAATTTAGCCTTCAACAGCAAACACTAACATCATTACAGAGAAAAAATATATTCATTTCTTCTTTATTCCTTTTTAAATTCTTAACAAGTATGTCTGGTTTCACCTTTCACAGAGAGATAGAATAGCACAGATTGAATTTTAAGGCTTTCACATGTGAATAAAATAGAAGAAAAAAAACATGCATCGAGCATAATTCTCAACAAATGCCAAATGCCATGAATAATTAGCAGATCAAGCATTATTTGGTCAAAACCAAATACAGGTAAACAAAGCAAGGAGCTGCTCACAGATGAGACCTAAATATCAATTAATCACTGACAGGTAATTGTTAGTTTAAATCCAAGGTTACTTGTTAGAACTCTTTCCCCAGGTGTGTTGCGGCCTTTGCATAACTGCATTGCTTTTAAAATATAACTCTACATAAATAAACAAGGGGAAAACAAGTCCTAAGGCTCTGTCCTACATATTCTCTCCCTGTTTCTGTCAGAGAGATTTTCTTCTGTTCAACTTACAAAAATGCAATGCATTTCGGGGAAGATATTAATAAATGCAAATATACCACCAGTAGAGAGAATGTCAGAAGTTCTTTATTGTCACTAAGACAACTGAAGCACTAATCTTTTTTAGAAAAGGAGTGATCAGACGCATTTAACCTGGAGAAAGAATAGAAATGTCCATATCTGCAAATGATCATGAAGTTGACAGCTTTCCTTCGATGCAAGAGATCCATATTCCCAGAGAACCCTGGGATTCAGGTGCCTCCATCATGGCTAGTGCAGGGGACAGGTGACCTCCAGGTCAGCCAGCTTTGCAGGGACGCGTGCTGCTTGGCAGTGTGTCTGGTCACCTGGGGCCGGGCCTTGCCAGGTGTATTGCACAACCACCCCTTGGGGAAATAGAAGTCGGAGTATTAGGAGGTGCAAGCAGCAGGTGATTTACACCAATGTACGTCATTTAAATTAACACAGAGATGCTATGAGATCTTTATTCCAGAAAGCGCTGAAACGAGTATGTTTCTTGTGGACAGCGTTCAAATCACAGGCGGGAAGTTTTTGCACAGTGACCTGACTGACTGCAAAAGCGGGGCTGATGAACCTGTGTTAACCCTGTTCCGAGCGCCATGCACGTATGGAGGTGCCCCTTGTGGGAACAGGGCCATGTGCAGGACATGGGCATCGACAATAAACCCTGTCAGGTTCAGCCGGTCCCTGCAGGGCGCGGGCGCAGCGTGGCTGTGGCCCTCGTAAGGCAGTGGCGCTGCGGCCACTCACGGCTGTGATCGATTAATGAAGATTCGCCGGCCGGCGGTGCCGGGCGCACGGCGGCGCCCGCGGCGGGCCGGGCCCGGCTCTCGAGCAGGACGGCGCCTCGGGCACTGCGACCGCAGCGAGACGCGCGCCATGTCGGGGGCAGGCGCGGCGACCGGGTGGTGCAGGTGAGCAGCGGCAGGGCACAGGCTGCGGGGAGCGGGGCCTGCGAACGGGTTTCTGTCTCTGGTAATACACTAATTCGCTGTTAAAGCCAGCACACGCACAAAAATGCTTCTCTGCTGTCAAAATGAAAGCGGGGAAGCAGGCTTCCCTCTGTGTGGACGCCAGGAGCGGCTCCCCGTGCCCAGGCTGGGAAGCGGCGGCTCCGAGGCGGGAGCAGCCCGGCTGCCCCGCTCCAGACGGCGCTGGTCACCAGCAGGTGCCTCGGGAAGCGCCTCGGACCCGCGTCCAAACACCCGCTCGCCAGCTTTCGGTGGTTTGGGCTCAGGGTCTTGAGTCTGGAGATGATGCTGCATTTCTTGATGTATTTTTCATCTATAAGTAAGGCCAGTGGCTTTAAGAACCCACTTAAACGTGACGTGTTCAGGATGTCCTGCAGCAGAGTCCAAAATACGTGAAGTTCTTCCATTGTTTTGAACGTGTCACCTGCTTCAGGCTCTTACTTTGCGACAGTCAGTGAAGAGGTGGTCCGTGCTCACCTGCTCTCACAGACTCTTCTTTCTTGCTCTTGCTGATCAAAACATACAAAGGGGGGCAAAAGTGTCACATGATGATAGTCATAATTGCCAGAAATAGAAAAGGGATTTGCAAGATATGTTTCTTATGAAGAAGAAATATAAATTAATACATGGAGATTTGGGATTGATTTTTTAACACAGAAATATTGGGGGAATGGTGATAGAATAGAAGCACTATCCTTCACAATAATTATCAGTTAAACAGGCTTAACTCTGTTGCTTAGTTTTACTTATGTACGTGTGGGAGGGGGGAATTAGTGATGAACTTTTTCAATTAAATCTTCCCTTCTGTGCAAAATTTATTTGTGAAACCATTTCAGAATGAGCTGCAGGAAGCGATTTCTGCTCATGCATCAAGTGAGCAAACAGATGAATACTCGGACGACTTTGAGAGTGATGAAGATGGCATGTTAAATGGTAAAACAGAATTAAATATTTTTCCTTGTGTTCTTCCTCTTCTTGACTCATTGCTATAGCCCAGCAAATCTTTGTGAGTCAATATGATTTAATGTTCCAAGATTTCATATTTTAACAACTTCTAAATCACTGGGTCCTCCTCTTCTAAGTTAGGAGCAGAATTCCCAATGAAATCTGTGGTGGTGCCAACCTGCTAGACCAGACACAGTCTGTACTGGTTTCTACCATTGTGATGCCCAGTTTTTCTCCATAGCCATCTGTAGTAGTGCACATACTGTGAATGAAAGTGAACATGAGCGGAGAGAAAGCCCTGTTTTTAACTTCCTGTTTTCCCAGTCTGGACAATCAGTGAATAATGGCTTCAGGACACACTGCAGAGCATACTTCCCTGGCAGTGTACACAAACCATGAATAGTTTTGATCTAGCTGTTTTTCTTGGGCCAAGATGCATTTGATGTTTGCTAATTGTATTGAGTTTGCATGGCCAGGTTTTTGTCGCAGAGGGGCTACAGGGGTGGCTTCTGTGAGAAGCTGCCAGAAGCTTCCTCCGTGTCCGGCAGAGCAAATGCCAGGCTGCTCCAAGACAGACCCGCCACGGGCCAAGGCTGGACCGGTCAGAAATGGTGGTAATGCCTCTGTGATAACATGTTTAAGAAGGAAAGAAAAGTTATTGTGCAGATGTAATTGTGGCCAGAGAAGAGTGAGAATATGTGAGAGGAACAACTATGCAGACAGACACCAAGATCAGTGCAGAGGGAGGGGGAGGAAGTGCTTCAGATGACAGAGGTGAGATTCCCCTGCAGTCTGTGGTGAAGACCATGGTGAGAACAGGCTGTGCTCCTGCAGCCCATGGAGGACCATGGGGATGCAGAGATCCTGCAGCCCATGGAGGAGACCCACACCAGAGTGGGTGAATGCCTGAGAGAGGGCTGTGAATCCGTGGGAAACGTGTGCTGGAGCAGGGTCCTTGCAGGGACCTGCAGATCCATGGAGGGAAGAAACCACACTGGAGCAGGTTTGCTGGTAGGATTTATGACCCTGTGGGGGACCCATACTGGAGCAGGCTGTGCCTGATGGACTGCACCCTATGGAAAAGTGACTCACATAACAGCTTTCCACCAACTGCTGCAGCCTATGGGATGGAGTCACGCTGGAGGAGTTCATGGGAAACTGTCTCCCATGGGAGGGACCCCACGCTGGAGCAGGGAAAGGACTCCTCTCCCTGACCAGCAGCAGGAACAACATGTGATGAACTGACCGTAACCCCTACTCCCCATCTCCCTGTGTCTTTGTGGGGGGAGGAGGTAGAACTCAGGAAGGAGGGACGTGTGGGGGAAAAGTGTTTCTAAGATTCGTTTAATTCTCATTATCCTGCTCTGATTTTGTTAGTAAAAAATCCAATTAATATCCTCAAGCTGAGTCTGTTTTGCCTGTGATGTTGTTTGATGAGTGATCTCTCCCTGTCCTTAACTCATGAACCTTTGTTATATTTGCTCTCCCCTGTCCAGCTGAGAAGGGGTGTGATAGAGAGGCTTTGGTGGGTGCCTGACATCCAGCAAGGGTGAACCCATTACTACTTTATGTTTAGTCTAACAAGATCGGCCAAATAACTCTTTCATCCTGATTTGACACTGCATGTTAAGGAAAATAGGAATTTTAAAAGGATTTCCTCTGTGTCCTGTTTTTCATTCACACCTAAAACATCTTTTAACAGTTTGTGGGATGCTTTGATTTCCCTTTGCTGACAAGATTTAGGAAAAAGCTCCCCCAGCAGTAAATAAGTTACTACCATGCTTTTGTTACCTTCTTCAAGCATTTGAACTCTGTAATTAAGCCTGTTAGTCATAACAGACCTCAACAGGAAGATCAAAACATTTTTGTTAAAACATGAGAACCTCAGCGTTGGAGCAGATACTTCTTTGAGTATCTTCTAGTAGATTTTAGATGGGACAGAAGTGAAGGGAAGGGGAGCATGGATTCTGATACCAAACACGCATAGCTTTGTTGTTGACTTGCTTTCACTTCTTGTGGCATTGAGACACTGTTTTTTAGAAGGGTTTTGAATTGCATGGCAGAAGAGAATTAATGAGTGAATATTTTTCTTTGGGTTGGGTCCATGGAAACAGATGACAGGAAAGGAAGTAAATAAAGTCTGTAGTCTGGTGGCTTTGCAGAGATAAGAGGCACAGAAAGAGAAATGCTCAGAAACTAAAGTCGGGAGGATGTTATATGAAAAATAGTTTTAAGTTATAGAAGATATCACTTCTGAGTTGCATTTTTTTCCCACTTATCTCGAATGCAAGTTGATAATATGCCCTTTTCAGGTATTGATGAAGAACTTACTGAAGGTAATTCAGGTGCTGCAAGCACTGGTAAATCCACTGTTGTTGAGAGTCCTCTCTTGAATGATGATGCTTCACAAGAACTAGCAGATTTGGAAAATGAAGCTGCTGATGACTTGGCTTTATCCTTTCATGGAAAGAAACTTAAGAAAATAATGGTTTTAGAAGGTGATAATATACCAGATGACAGAAAAGATGGTAAAGAAGAATGTTTGGAAGGTCAAAGTGAGGGTAATGGCAGAAAAAATAATGAAGTGCTTTCAGCTGCTGAAGAAGTACCCTGTGATAATAGTGAAAGTGATGACTTGCCTATTCATGAACTACATAAAAAAAGAAGTCAAGAGGAAAAGCAACCAACAGCAAAGCCACGGCTTCACAAACAAAGAAATGCTTCAGCATCAGGTGAAAAGAAAGCTTTGAATGTTGTTGCTGCTACTTGCTTAGCCATGTTACAGTATTTTAAAGTGGTTTAGTTTGGGTTATTTTCTGTGTTAATGATCAGCTGCTTTGGCTTGCAGCCAAAGCTTCTTAAAATACATAACCTCCATCTACCAGGGGGTAAACTGAAAAACTGTGGGCCAAATAGCAGGAGGTTCCTGTTTTCCTTTCAGAAGATGAAAAACAGCTGTTTAGGTCCTTGAAGTTCAGCTCTTCACCAGTGCATGTCCATGAAAGTTGTGGGAGGCCTACCGACTTGGCTCCACAGTATGTGCCTAGCTCAGAAAGCCATATTCACATAGTGTCCACAGCTTCCATGTATCCTTCCATGGGAAGGTTATTAAATAGCCACCTCTTTTCTATGACCTGGAAAGTTTGATCACACTGTTTGCAAATACAGTGTTGAAGTTGTTATACTGAAGCATCATGAAACTGTAATGTGACAGAATGTCAGAATAGTAGATTCTCATAATTGCAAAGTTAAAACTTCAAATGATCTTTTACTTTAAAGATACTGACACACTTTGGATGTATAGTCAAACACATATAACCCCTAAGTTTTAATGTTTCGTTATAAGTCTAGGTAATGCATTTTTAATCTGCAAAGCAGAACTTGGAATTCTGCTAATTAACTTTTACAGATATAAAATGTCAAAAGACTTCATATTCATATCCAATTCCATTTGTATTCTTATCTAATTCCATTCTAATCTTCAGATTCATATCTAATTAGTAGTATGAGAGGAATTAGTCCTGTTTGATGTTGAGATAAATTTGTGGCTGGTCGTTAGCCATGGTGGAAGATTACAACTTTGAAATTGCTAGAGCATGATTAATGATATCAGCTCCTTTTTGTGTTTCCACATGATGGCACCAAAGTGCTGGATATTTGAATGCACAGTTGGGCAGTGCAACACCTCTCTGTCCTGGCTGTTGTGCTTGTGTAGTTTTACACTGGCAGAAAAAAGTTGAATTACTCCTTGTCTTCATGTGAATCAAAGTAGTGCAGTGATAATGGCATATTGGTTTTCAATTCAGAATTCTCCTTGTCACCTTGAACTTACCTTCACCATTGTAAATCTAGGTTAAATTTCTTAGATTGTGAGCATTGATATTCCTTTCTTCAGGTAATTTGGAGTTCATTTCTCATTCAAAAATTCTATTTCTTTTAAGAACTGCATTTGGATGGTAAGGCAGATGGGAAGTTTTGCCTTTGTCATGCTCTCACATTCTTTAACATTAGTTAAAGCTTCAGTTTCTACTCCAGTCTTACATTTAAATACAAGTGAATACTCTTCTTATTAGTAGATAGTTCTTAGAAGGAAGTATACAGAAAATACTGTATAAAATTTAGTAAAAACTTTCATGGACAGATGTTTTTTGGACAGAAATAAAAATACTCAGAAACAATGAAATTCTTGTTAATGTGTCCTCTCAATCTTTTTTCCTCCCGTTAGATCAGGATCAGAAGACTGTCAACACCAGTGACTTGAAACTGGAGGACAACGATAGAAAATCTCCTTCTGTGATAGAACAAATGATGACCACAGTGTATGAGAAGACAAGGGAATTGGAGAACCCAACAGCTGACAGTTCAGATGGAACAGTGAAAATAGCAGAAGGGCAAATAATAACTGATACAATGCAGGAGATATCAATGAATGGTCAATCTGAACATAGGGAGGCAAAGAATGCATCAAAGAGCTCTGTCAAGGTATTACTCATAAGCATTTTGCCATTGTGTGGAACAATGTCTTAGAAGCATGGTGGAAAGTTTTGTAAGGTTACTGTTGGTAACTTAAATGTGAAAATGCTATCTGTAGAGCTGACAATTTACCTCTGAGCTGAGATTTATCTAGAGCTGAGGCTCTTACAAATTCTATATAGTTGTATTGAAGGTATTGACATGTGTTTTCCAGTCTTAAGAAAGTACCCTTGTCCAAGTGAAAATAACAGATCTCTATTGTGAGGCTAACTGAATTGCAGTGAGCAGTGCATGTTGGCAGAGGATGGAATCCCTGGTGTGACCTGAGTAAGGGATAGGTTGCAAAGCATTCTATACTTTATCATAAGAAAGAAAATATGTAGATACATACAATTATTAAAGCTAAGTATTCAAAGAGCTAAAAGAGTGTTGATAGAATAACAGGGAAACCCACTACCCAGCTGGGTTCTTTTTATTTCTTTGTATTTCTAAACTACAGAATATATTTTTATGTAATACAAATAAACATTTCTAGGTGCTATTTGAAAATTATACAGGCATTCTGAAAGTTTGGTTGCTTGGTTTGGATTTGTTTGGTTGGTTGTTTTTTCTCCTTACTTTCTTACCCTGTACTGTACCCCCTCTGTATTAGAGTGGCTTTCTTGCCTATTTTTCTAACATCATAGAACTATAGAATATCTCAGTTTGGAAGGGATTTGTAAGGGTCAAGCCCAACTCTCAAAATCCCTGTTAACTTGTAAAAATCTGTTTCATCCTGATCTAGTTCTGTTGCTTGAGAGACTCTATAACTTCTACTTTTCCTCTGTTTCTTAGAAGCCAGGTGAAACAAAGGAGAGAGTTCTACAAGACTCAAAGGCTTCTTTATCTGACAGGTAAAAGAAACACTCTTAGGTATCACACTCTGCACAGTGTAAGATGCATGTAAGGGCCCCGACAGTGCTGCTTCATTCTTATTTTCTGTCAGCACTGTATTCACTGCTGACAACATCTGACCATCTGTGAAAAACCTTTTAGTGGATGAGGCATGTTATTATGACCCTTACTCAGGTTTATATCCAATCAGACTCTCAAATCTTTTGCCATTGTCTGTGATGTGTGTGTGCTACTGAAGTCTTTATAGGTTTTAAGCTGCTTTTTAGGTGAAAGTGTAAGGAATTTGTAAACTTTCTTGGCCTGGATATGTTGCATAATGGCTTGTTTTGGCAATAATAAAGCCCTCAGAAAAAAAAAAAAAAGGTTCTTTCTTTTCTTTTCCCCAGTCCCCAGTCAAGTGCATATAAAAAACCAATCACAGTAACTTTTGGTATGTACTGAAATAAAGGGAACACTGCTTGGTAACAGCCACAATAAATGGAAAGATCATTAATGTGTTTGTGTCCTGGTATTTTCATAGGTCTCCATCTTCTGCGCACCTAAAGACAAAGGTGAAGGCTGTTCCATCAGCTACACCTGTTTTATCTCAATGTCTGGGAACATTAAACCTGTTGGAGAACAAATGCATGGAGAAGAAAAGAACAGAATTTGACAAAGCAGATAATTTAAGAGCAGCTGTTTTTCAGGTAAATCTTAAAAATGAGCAAACAAACCAACAAACAAAACTGTGCATAGAAAGGTCCTGATCTAGGAGTCAACACCTCATATTTCTTGAAATCAATATTTCTTACTATATTCCTTGCATAGGCTTACAGGTGTAATAATCCTTTTATTCTGTTGGCTATCACTTTTCCTCAAATTATGAACTCAAAAGCTATATGAAAGGGATGTACTGTGATTCATAATTTATTGTGTCAGACTATTCTCCGGCACATATTTTCCTTTGTTTCTACTTCATCTTTAACATGAGTGTGTAGTTTGAAGTTGCTCTTTTTTTCCTGGTATATTCTATTCATCTGACATTCAGGAAAAGTGATAACAAATCTAGTACTCTCTCCAGAAGAAAAATCTATGTAAATTCCATGTAGAATTTCACAACAATTAGTTTATGGGTTTCAACAGACTTTTACTATTAATCTGTTTGAGAACAACTTTAAATCCAGAAGCTGTTTGTATTGGTATGTGTTTTTAATACTTGTTATGGTCCTAGAACAAATTTTAGACCCTCAAATTACAATTTATATTGTCTATAATTTTAAAGGTAAAATAGTCTTCATTTAGGACACTTGTATCTCTAAGCTGTATACCAAATAATATAGTTAAATATTGAAAATTTAAGTCTGTTTCTGCAGATGGCTCATAACCTTTTATGGTTGCTTGAAGTCTCACTCTTCCCAGTAGGGTTTTATTCTCTTTAATTATAGGAATTTACAAGACAGACAACAAATGTAAATAATATCCCTATATTCCAAGTGATAAGAATCTTTATTTTATTCTTCTTTTTAAATTTGTTTAAAGCTTACATTTTTTTGGTGTTTCTATGAAGATTTTTTTAAGACATTTAAGCTTTTTTAGATTTTGTAGCTGTGATTTTAGAAGCTTAGACTTTTTTTTGATCTCAATGTGTATGTGATAACAGCTTAGTCTTCCACATGGGGTAGTATCTAAGTAGCACATGGAAGAATTAAGAGTAATTTTGGTGGTCATTGTATTGGTGCTGCTCTGTACTTACACCTTAAAAGGACTTCAGAAGTCTTTAATGATTCTTACAGAATTGGTTGGAAAAGAAAAAGCTCTTTCTAATGGAATTAAAGAGAACTGAAAAGGAGAAAGCTGAAAATCTCAGAAACGATACTGAAAAGGTTTGTTTACATTCTTGTTAAAAAGAAGTTAACAGACTATAATTCTTTGAAGTGTACTTGTCTGTACTTTCTGCCTGAGTGCATCAGTCTGCTGTTGTAAGGCATCTGGTCTTCTCCAAAGAGCACGAGGTGATTTGGAACACTAAATGATATGTCCTACTTGTTATGGTTGTGGCAAACAGTGTGTGTCTGATGTTTCCCTACACATTTACATAAGGTGTGTTAAAAGTGTGCTTCTTAGATTAATTTTCAGGTTTGTTTACAAAGACCTTGGAATGCTCAAATCTTAAGGTGCTAAGTTTTATGTTGTCTATTAGAACATAAGGGGTTTGCTTCCTCCCTCAAGAGATGCTTATCTCCAGAGGACTGTATTTTGAATAGTACTGTACACACTCTTTGATTTGACTTTTAAGTATTTAATACATTTCACTGCTAGGCACTTAACATGTATTTCATATCCTTATACACATATTTTGCTGGAATAGTTTGTTTCAGTTAACTTAAATTAAAAATGAACATAGAAAAAACCCCACCATATGTATTTAAAATTTCATTGTGAGTAATACTTGAAATGTTGTTGTCAAATCAATTTCTGTTTCTTTATTGCTCCATTAACAATTAGTTTAAAGCGTACTACCTCAATTATAATTTTATACTGAAGTGTATTTAAATGTAGACTTTTATTTGCAATCTAGAAAGAAGCACTTAGAAGAGAGGAATCAATTGCATGTTTTGAAGCCTGGAAAGAAAAGAAAGCAAGAGAAGCAAAAAAGCTAAGTGAAAAAAAGAAGCTTGAGGAAAAAACCCCAGCAGAACAGAATAAAGAGAAAACAGAAGCAGCACAGGTGGTGATGTGAAATATGTACAAAAACGTATATCAAATGTGGTTCAGGAGATTGTAGAAAATAATTCTGATTAATCCAGAAAGAGATGGAAATTAACTAGAATCTAAGTCTAGACATGCTTAATTTTTGAAGTAAGTTCATATTAGGTTCTGTTCTGCCAGAAATACGTAATGTTTACATTTGCAGACAAACATACTTCTATATTTGGAGTTTGCTAACTGAATATAAAATAAACGCCATATAAATACATTTAACTAATACTTACTGTCAAAATAACTTATTCCTGTTAGGCATAGTGATGCCCACTTCTAAGAAATGCTACAAACAAATATTCCGAAATTGGAATGTGTAGAAATTACAAAAAAAAAATAATACAGAATAGGCAAGGGGAGTATTGACAAAAAGGTGAGGGGTAAGATTTCTCATGAATCTATGGTTTTCTTTAGGCATTCAAAAGATGGAAAGAAAAAAAAGTGGAATATTTAAGAGAGCAAAGCAGAAAGGAAAAAGAATCTGAAAGAATCAGGAAGGAGAAAGAAGAGGAACTGATTGCAGAGAAGAGGAGAATCAGCATATCAGCAGTTGAAAAATGGTACTACTCCACTGTGTTTTCCTGTATCGTAGCTTCCAAAGTCTTCATGTACAAATGTAATAGGTCTTCTGTGAGTGCTTGATGTGCTTGTAGTTGTAAGACAATGGCATGCTTGGGATCAGACTCTTCAGTCCCAGTGGAGAATAAGTATAACAGTGAAAGCAAGCTGTACAGCTCCTTTCAGTTTAGTAATTTAATTGCTTTCCTCCCCAAAAAGCTACTAACTAAGCCCAGTCAGAGATACTGCAACGGAGACGTAAGATTGACTGAGCATAATGTCTTATGTGGTTAGTTTCATGCTTCATTACTAAACCACAGGAAGGTAAGTAAATCTTTAAGTTTTGTGGAATACAATGTATGAATGCAGATGTATGCAGGAAGGAAAGAAATGAGATGTATCTGCTGGAGAAATTCTGTGTTTTATAAGCCAAGAGTTTTCACAGACCGTGTGCAACTTACAGTTACCTACAGAAGTTCAGAATCTAAGGGTTATTTTGTGATACTGAATAAGGGAAAAGCAGTAAAGAAAAGGTGATGCCATAACAGATAGAGTAGTAGGTTCATTTATACTTTGGTGATATATCAAAATGGACTGGGAAGATTTTAAATATATATTCTCAAACTTTTATTAAAAGTATAAAATATCTCTTGACTCAATTTAGTTAATCAGCAACAGCATTTAGTCTGTTACATGATGATCTCTTTTTCTTCCCTCTCATTTTACAGGAATGAAAAGAAGGAAGAATATATAAAAAAGAAGAAAGTAGAAAAATTCCTAGAGAGGAAAAAGCAAGAAATGCAACAGGCAAAGAAGGAAGAAAAAAATGAAAAGGCTATGGAGGAATATGAAAGATGGCTGGTATGTTTGTTTGGGGATTTTTTTTGCACTTTGTCAAAACCAAAAAGTTTAATGCAGTAATGAGTGTGAACAGTTGTGTATTGTGATACTTATGAGTTTTCGTGCTGTTATTAGAAAGGCCAGACGGTGGCAACATTGCATAACTTGTCCTCCAGAATTCGTGAGCAAAATGATGGTAAAGTGCGGTGGACTTGATATTTGGCAGACATGGAAAATATATTCTCCCTACGTACATGTTACAGAGTTTTCTATTTCATAGTTACTCTTGATTTTTTGCCATTTCACATCAGAGGCAACCATCTCTGAAGGGCCAACTCACCACAGCACAAAACCTGCAAAGCCAAACAGCATCCCCGGCTGCAACAGTGAGTGCATGTACATTCAAGGAAGCATTGAAAGTGGAGACTTGTATACCTACAGCTGGTAAAAGCACTTTAATGATGTTCAAAATTATTATTACAAGAAAGAGTGGAACTCTGATGCTCCCAATTATATTTTTCCCACAACAGTGTCCTTTAGTCTCAATAGTTAAGCAGTAAACTAATCTATTACTCTAGTCTCAACAGTTAGGCAGGGTTTTTTCCCTTGCTACAGAGAGACAAACTAGAAGAGAGATCACTAATATTCTTAGCATATATTGTTTTCTTGAAGGTATGTGACTTACTATTTAAAGAAAATAGCTAGTGTGTTTTAATTCCTCACCCTGTGACACAGTCATTCCTCATACTGACTCTCAAGGTTTTCTTAGTTTGAGAGTGTTTCTTCTGTTTTCTCTCTTCCATGTGATTTCTGGCACACATCCTGTACATATGGTCTCTATTGTCACTTGTAAGAGTGAGATCTTGCAACTCATCTGGCTTAAGGTCCTTACAGGAATTTCTTTGTACTGTCAATGGCTAAAAAAAATCTTTTATTTGGTTTTTTTTTTTTTTGAGGAATGAGGAGGCAGAGAAATGAGAATTGAGGCGGGCAGATGTACGGATCTTGGACAGGTTTAAAAAGGACAGTCATCCTTTACTTGGCTAACTCAGAAATACACAGTTGCATAAAACAGCAAGAGCCTGCACGTTTTCTCTTCTCTGTTTTCATATTTTTTTAGTCTGAGGTTTAGATCTTTTAAGGTCTTTGACCTGGTCCCTGTTGTAATACCTCTCATTTCAGTAATCATTGGTAAGAATTATTTTCTCTAGTCCTCTTTGTCAAGTGATTTCCAGTTAAGTCAAATTATTAATGTCCAATCTTAGATTATTTCTTGCTTAGTCAATATTCCTGGTTGCCAAGGAAGGAAGTGCTGCATTTTAAGCAGTAACTAATGCACTGTCCTCTATGCTCTGCTTACTGGGACTATCCTAATCAGCGTAGTTGTATCAAAGCCTGAATGTGACTGTGCTGTCTTGGACTCTGTACAAAGGTAAAAATATTATCCTTTTTTGGGGGAATGAAAGATGCTGCCTAGCACAGACTCCCCTGTTCAAATTGTATATAAATTCCTGAGGTCACCACTTCAATGGGATTATTAATATGAACGTTAGTAGTTGGAGGAATGACCAGATCTAACTGGATATACAAGTACCTACATGAGAGGAACACTTTGAAAAATAAGCAGATGCAGGAGAATGGGATAGATACTGAACTGGTTGGCAGAGGTACCTCTAAAATGATCTCATTTTCAGTGTCTGTGTGCAGGTGTTGACTGATGTGTCTCATACCCAATCTTTACGTTTTTACTTTCAGAATTTGTGCTGGCTTTTTTCAGCTTAGACACCTTTATTTCAGAAAACATATTGGGCAATAGCTCTGTCATCATGTTTGACCAGAATATCATCTCACTTTGTACAGTTATAGAAAAAATACACACCTTTAGTGAACTGCAGAAAGGAAACACTGTAAAGTTGTCATTGGGAATTAAAGTTGTCAAGGGAACTAAGATGATATCTGCCTGCAGGTAGATAAACAGGAATCAGATCTGAAGGAAGAATTGTGGAGGCCTTTTAAGTGTATTCTTTCAACTAAGGAGGTTTTGGTTCGAAGGGAAATAAAATAGGAGTAGTATAGTGGCAAGTATTCTAATATGTTTTCATTGATATTCAACAGAAATAAATGTGTTTAAATTCATCCTTGGGTTTCCTGAACTAAGTGTTGACCATAATGCATGGGTAAAAAAGACATAAAAATCTGCTTATAGTTCTTCTTAAATAGAAGAAACATTCTGCTTTTGTATTAATGGAAATTGTGTTACTTCTGCTTTTAGAGATCATTATGTGAATGTTTGATAACATAAATTGCATAGAGAAGATTACTTTTTAAGCCTGAAAATAAATGCCCTAAAAAAGGTTATTAACACTTGTACAATATTAACACAAAAAGGATAATCTTGAGCTGAGATGCTGTAGTATTGCCTGGGAAATTTAAGCTTCTGATTATTTTGTTTCTTTCCTACTGTTTGCCTCTTGCTACTCACCAAGAACTCTTCAAGCCAATCTAGCCTGATAAATGATGAGTTTTTACTTAATGCATAATACCAGTGTCTGACACTTGTTACTGACATGCACCTGTTCTGAGGAGTGAAATGTGGAGAAGAATCACATTGGAAGTTTATAATGACAGATGAGTTTAGTTTTCATTTATTTCTGAGATATCAATTTGATACCTGTTTACTGTGGATAAAAGTGAGTAGCCTGGATATGTTATGTTGTCCGTTTTCTGTGCTATACATTAACATAGTATGAGTTGATGAGAAGTAAGGCTGCTCACAAATGATTCTCAAAGATCAACATAGTAAGGTTAAATACCCTAGAGGAAGTTTGAAGGTTGAGCATATACAACAACCCTTGAGGTTGAGCATATACAACATCTATTTTTAGCATTCTAAAGCTGTTTAAAAATATTAAGAAAGGATGTACCAGATGAGTCTCATGGATTTATTGCTTTTCTGGGTTAGGAGCAGCTGATGTGGGTTATTCATTTTGTGTGATTTAATAAGATCTCTCTGAAAATACTTTCTATATTGGAATTTTTATGTCGTGGTACTGCAGCATGTTAGAAATAAGGCTGCTATTGTTACTGCTCTTAAATGTTGTACGTCTTCTCTAATATCTAAAATTCAATTATTATGTGGCAGTCATACTGCTAAAGAATGTGGTCTTCCCAGAACTTGGTAGGTGAAAAATGTACTCATCTTACTAGGCTATTGAGTAGAAAACTTCCACAGAAATCAAACCATGCAGTTGAGTTGATCTACTGTATGATGAGCTACAGTTATTGATTTAGTCTTTCACTATTTCTGTTACTGTTCTTCTGTTAGTGCAAATAACATCTTGTTTATTATTTTATGGAAGATTTATATCAGTTATATCTTGTGAGAATGTGCACTGTGATTAGGACTAGAACATAAAAAGCTTTGTGTGTGTTGAAGACAGGGAAGAAGCCGGTAAGTCTTGATGTCAAATTTAATCTTTAAAAAACCAGTTAAATTAGCTCGAGATTCTTTTCTTGGCACTGGGATTCATTAATGAAAACTGGATCTTCAAACCCAAACATTCAACACTGAGACACAATTAAAAAATCCAAAGCAACTTTTGTTCTCTTCCTGGGTGGATGTTTGCTTTATTTTTCATTTGGGCTTTTCATACAGGAGTCTATTGTGCACATGTGTTCAGTAAAGAGTGCTTGACAAACATTAAATATGCACTTTTTTTGTAACATATGATTGTTCAAATAATTGCCAATACTGCTGCAATAGGTCTTATTTTTAATGAGTTTTCATCTACATGTCCTGAGGGTACACATAGCCTCATAGATTATGATTCTATGATTCTATGATTTTGTAAAAAGAAATTGACTGGATATATGCAAAAATTCCAAAACAGGAGCATGTATCATATATGTGTTCCATTAGAGCATATTCTTCACAAGCTCATCTGTACTGGGTGACATATCTTATTGTCTTTTTTGAAAAATACCACTGATAATGCAGACTCCTTTCCTCTTAGGGAACTAAACAGTTCACTTCAAGAATTTCAGAATATCTTGAATTTGTTCTAAAGACCCAAAGCCACTAGTTGTGCTCATCTGAGGAAGATTTCTATGGAAGGAGAAAGAAGGCAAAAGTATAGGATGAGAAAAGTCAGAATCTCACAATGTTACAAGCCCAGTTTGTCTCCATTACTCCATGTAATCCAGAAAGATACAGTTTGTACAGAGAGATAATTTTTTTATTAGACTAACTGTGATGAACTTTTGAATCACTTATTCTAGCAAAGGGCATTCCTTTTCCACACAAACTTTGCCTTGCTTTTAATCAGCCTTACTAGTAACAACATGAAATAATTGTCTGTTTAGTTAGACCAGATGTTCCTGACTCAATTGGATCTTCAGATTTACACTGACAGAGAGCTAAAGGGCACAGATTAATATCATAGGGTTGATATTTCAGTGCATGTTGTGCTTTTTAAAAATTTTGTACACATTGGTAGTTTGACTGCTGCATATGTATAAAATAGGAATAAACTTCCACTCAAGCTCCCTTTTTTACAGTAACGCTTCTACATTCATTTACCAGTCTACTCTCAGCCACAGTCACATCACTGTTTCTCTTCTCACATATGAATAACAGGCAAACACTGCTAGCATCTTGAGGATTTGGGAACGTACAGTATCCATCAGAAGGATGGGATCATGGGTTATATGAGCGCACCAGTTATCTTACAGCTGTCTTCAAGGAGCAGTACTTTCACTGCAATGCAGTTCATACATGTGAAAATACAAAACTAATACAGCACTTTTATGGTGCTTCACAATACTGGCTGATGGGCTGCAACAGATGAAAGGACCGAGGTTGGATTTGGCACGATGATTTTAAGCGGGCATATCCACACTGCATGTCTGCTACCTATGATGTGTATGCCAGTTGTCGGTCTGTTCATGTGTCCAAAAACCAGCTGCTCAAGGACCTCTTAGCCACCCAGCAAGTGGGGCACAGTAAGTTATGCTGTGGTCTAAAATGTCAACCTACTACTTCAAGTCAGTCAGAAATGTGCACCAACATGCACCACAAATCTGCAAGTGTCATTATAAGGAAAATTTGCACCAGCTCACCAGTGTACTGAATTGCTAATGCAGATGCACCCTTAGATGCTGGTCCTCACCGTGGTGAAATGGCAGTCATTTGCAAAGAAGAGTGCTTATTTTATATAGAATGGCAAGTCTCCTGAAATTCATTAGTTATTTAGACACGAAAAGAATGTTGCAAATATCTTGCTTATCGTTCATCATCCTGATTGCCCACTGCTGTCTGAAACAATAGAAAATGGAATTAGAACCTTGCAGTACTTATAATATGTTAGCTAGATCTTTGTTTAAAATTAAATTGTTTAATTCCTAGTTTGTTCTAGTACATGGCAAGTGTGATTTAATAAATACAAAAAGTTACAATGTTGCATCAATGTTACATGAGAACAACATATTTAGGTATCCTCTTCAAGACAGTAAGTAATTAATATGAAACTAATTATATACAAGTACCTGATCCACTAGTTCTTCGCTTGGGTTTTTGTTTAGTTGGTGCACAAAACCTTAATTGTAAATGACACCCAGTGTGCAGCTGCTTGTATTACATTGTGCAATGTCTGTGACTGAGGCACTGCTCCAAAAGGCAAATCTCTATTGCATGTTTACTTTTCATTTTACACGAGAAAGGTATAACAATAATTGTAACTTTTCTGTTAGTGGAGTTGTTTTTTGTAGGTTTTTTTTTTGTTTAGTTTTGGTTTGGGCTTTTTTTGATGTATCTTTTTATTCTCAGGAAAACAAAGAGAGGAGAGAGGAGCTTGAGAAGAAGCAAAGGAAGATGCAGTCTGTCCATGGGAATGAAATGAGTCCTCCCTGGAGGCCACCTGGCAAAGTCACATATTCAGGGAATTACTGAGAAGTTTATTGCCTTGTGGAAGAAAACATAGTCCACAAAGTTCTGACAATGGCTAGTCGCTATTTCATTAACAGTTGATTTTCACTGGATACATTGTAGGTGTTACATTCTTTCTTTTTAGTTTATTTGATCTCCATAGTTTAAATAAATCACTTGTCTCTTTCCACTGCTTTAGAAAACATACTAATTTTTCTAATTCCACATTTGATGTAGTTTTGCTATATTCTATGCTACTTTGTATCTTTTTCGTGCAAGTGTATATTCAGGATGAATAAGGCTGGACTCTGCCATTTTTTTTACCCAATAGGTAGCAGAATGGTTATTTTTAAGTTACTAGGCCACACTTTTGAGGAGTTAAGTCTTGAAGAAATTCTTGGAGGAGGCGGTGGGGTGTGGAGATGATGGGCAAGGAGATGTTGGCTCTCCTGTGATGGTAAAAGACAAAACGCTAAGGAGAATGGTAGGAGGATGTCATTTTCATACATGAAGAGATAAGATACAGAGAAAATAAACTTAGATTATGTTACATTATGAAATGTAAATACAGCTCCTAAATTAAAACTGCATCTAACAGAAGCAGGTTTTCATGGGGCCAAAAGCAGTCAGCCATGTGATGGTACAGAAGAATTAAACTGGAATCCATATAATGTAAAATTATATAGGACTAAGTAAGATTGTAGCTGTTAATTCCCTTTCAGATCTTCATATACATTCCATAGATTTCCTGCTTCCTTCATGAAAAAATAGTTTTAGAGACATGTTCACACAAAATCTTACATAAGAATTCAAGGGCAGAACAGTGGTACTCTTGTGAGGCAAACTTAGAAAATTTTTTTTTTTTAACTTAATTTAAAGGCTTCTGTGATTGTTTTTAAAAGATCAAGTAAATCCTCCCCAAACACATTTTCATCATTGCTAATGAGCAGGTTCCTGTAGTAAATTAATACATTTTTTTCTTTTTTATTTTTTTTGGCTATTTGCCTCACTATTCTAGAAGCAATGGCAAGACTATGTGGCTTTAGAGATCTTCACATCTTGTTTGCCTGCTGTCTAAACTCAAGCTGTTCCTTTTGTTTGTATTTTCTTATTTGAACTTTAATAATCACTCCAGATCAGATATGCTCCTCAAATGTGTATTCTTTAAAACAAAACAAAACTAGTATCACCAACCAAGAAGTAAAAAAAAACCACCCTGGTCTTTAATTTATGGATATATTTTCTGAAATGAAAACCTTGTTCCTGTTTAGACTGGTAACCTCCTTGGGAAGTAAAAGGAGCATATGAGAAATAGACTTGTCTTTTTCCCTAGAGTTCTGTCCTGTTTGTAAATCTCTGAGATAGTCTTTAAGTGTGCATTTCAGGTAAAACTGGGGCATCTCCTCAGAAAAGAAAAGACAAATAGAAAAGACTGACAAGCAGATTAATTTTTTTAGTTTCCTGATGTTTCTTGCTTGGCTTTTTTTTTACATTTTAATGAGAGCGACTGAGGATTTAGAGGCATTTGTTTTGGCCATAGTGGTTTCTATTACCCAAGTGCTGTACAGGTGAAATTTATTGCTGGTATGTATGTACAAATGAAATCAAAAGGGTGTCTGTTCTGTCTCAGTATTCAGTAAGGTCCTGTTCATTATTTTACCTTGAATGGCTCAACTTCCGGTTGCTTTTCATGTAACTTGCTCATGGTAGCCCCATTGCATATTGGGATTTTTGACCAGAACTCTGCTGGTTCTGGCTCTTGCTTTTAGTTCTGTTTCTTCCTCAAAAAGACAATTGTGCTGGACCTGGATTTTATTCTTTTATTTGTTTCTAGCCTTCTGTCACTGGGCTGTTCTCCCATAAATGTGGGGCTGGAACAGTTTTTTCCACTGAAGAGTTTCAAGAGAAGCCAGGGACCTTAATGACACCCATCCTTTAATTATATACAGTCTGCAGGTAATGCACTCTTGATGTCTTCCAGTGAACCCTAATGACAGTAGTGACCTTTTTGATGCTTCTGTGAGACTCAGGTTTGTGCCAAGAGTCATCACTCAGATGCTGAACTTCTGAGTAGGGCAGTGTTCTTGCAAGTTTATGCTAAGCTCATCTTCTGTAATTTGGGAGGAGGAAGACATTGGTCAAAAGGGAGAGAGGTCAGGAGAGAGGCTGGAGCTTTCAGAAGCACCTCAAATCCTGCAGTCAACTCTTTCCAAGCTCCTGGAGTCTGGCTGTGTTCCAAGGCCCTTGGTGTTTTTTTCAGGAAGACTCTCTTTATAGTAGTACTCATACTGAGTTTCCTACACTGCAGTGTTGCAGTGCATGGCATTACAGAATCTCCCAGCTAAGGGATTGTGCACATTAGTTAAGGGATTCTGCGCATTAGCTTTTTGCAGAGATCAATAAATCCAGATTTTTATCTAGCATAAGCCAGACATTGCAGATAAGCAAATATGTGGCTCTCATAACCTCCAGGTCTGGCTCTGGCTATTTCCTTATGGCAGGCCAGGCATTTTTTCCAGTAGTAGTTGCATCAGATCAACAGTATTGGCCTTCAAAGGAAAAGAATCCACTGCCCACAGAAACTTTCAAGAAGCTGAAAAAATGCCCAGCCAGAGCAGTTTCACTGGTCAACCTAAAAGGTAGGGTAAAATTACAGATAGCAGCAGGAGAGGTAGTGAGATTGCAGCACAGGCAGAATGTAACAGACTGCCAACTCAAAAGTTACCCACCCAGATTTTAGAAGAAAAATATTGAATGAATTCAGGCCTTTAGACTGGAGCCGTGGTGTGCATCATTAGTCCTCTAGGCTTCTAGATCTTGGAACCTTGAATTCAGGTTTACTTTGTTAAGAAACTCCAGCTATAGTATCATGAGAGGATGAAATGTGTAGCAGGCAGCAGAGTTTGCTGTCCAACAGATCTGGGAAGTCTGAGACAAGGAATGCAGTCTGCGACAAGCGAACCATCTGGATCTTTGTTTTCACAGTGTCCAGCTGGAGGAAGTAAGGCAGGTCGCTATGCTGACAGTCCTGTACTTGAGGGATGCAAATGAAAAGTGTGGTAGAATTAGTGGCAGAGATAAAAAAAAGTTTGTTGGGTGATTGTGCCTGAGCTGAATACTGCATTCTTACTGGCTTTAAGCCTTTAGATGACTGGGTGGAAGGTTTTTGACAGAAAATAGAAGTGAGAAGATGTTGGTGACATCTTTCAGAGGAGTGAGGAGGCACTTACGTAAGTTCACAACTTCTGAGTTAGAAAAAGATGCTGAAGATCTGTAGAGGGGGGAAAACAGTTGATGTATTTAACTTTTACAGTAAAATTTTGGGAGCTTTGTCTAATTTTACATTGTGAAAACTTGGACATGTTACATCATGATGCAAATGTCATAGAAAAAATAGAGCTGAGAAATATGAACATATGTACATTAATTTACAAAAATGTACAGATGTCTGTATAAATCCTGTCTATATGATTTTTGATTACAGAGAGAAAATATTTTGTATTTAATAAAGTATATTTTATTATAATAGCCTCAATGTTTTTAACAGATCCTAGGATACAAATCTTTATTTAAAGCTTTAATACGTGGAAGTGAACTAGGCAGTGTCTCTAAGCACAAGCTATTCTTTCATCACTGTTAATATGACAAGTACATAGGGAACTTCAGTATCCCGCTGAACTCAGAGCTTCTACAGCACTACAGCTATCTCCTCCACCTCCCTTACACTCTTGCTTGCTGCCACACAGTGCAAACATTCATTTCAGGAACGTAGTTTCCAAGTCATAACTTGGAAGATGATCAGTATCTCTCATTTTTTTCCCAAATTATTTCATTCAGGCATTAAGTTGCTACATTGGTGCACTATAGGGGCGGGCTGATGATAAAAAATTTTCAGGTCTCTCATTCTGGGTAAGAAAAATTATATGTTGTTCTCTGTTGTATTTTTTTTTCTTTCAGATTCACAAAATATCATCTTATCTGGCCTGTATGCCATGCACTGCTGTGTTTTGTTTGGTTCATTATACGTTCAACTGAGTTACTTGACTCACTAACAGGGATAAACTCTTTTGGGCTGTGAAGGCTGATGGCAGCCTTGGCTGCACATCAAAACCTGGACTTGCTCCAGTTTGTCCATATCTTTCTTGCGCTGGGAAGCCCAAAGTTGAACATGATGCTCAAGATGCAGTCTCACTCCAGCTGCAGTCCCACACGTGCCAAACAGAGGGGAACAATCACTTGGCCCCCTGAGCAGCAGGATCACATATTTGTTTCTGTGCCAGTGTACTTACAGAAGCCCTTCTTTATACTCTTGGAGTCTTGTATGAGCTTTAACTCCTGCAGGTCTTCGTCTTTAGTGAATGCTTCCATGCTCACTCCAGTAACATCTCTATTTTGCTCCATCTCTGTGCTTGATTACTGTCTGAACTCAGGCAGGAGAGCTCCGTTCATGCACACTGGCTGCCTGCCACACTTGCTCAACTACCCACATATCAGAATGGACTTTTCCTGTGCTCTGCCAAGGATATTAAAGAAGGTCAGCCAGCTCTCCTGGGTCCTTTTGCTTTCCAGGACAGCTTCCTGTGAGATCCTGACAAACAGATCCCTGAGCAAGCCATCATCTTCTCTCCTGAAGGCCAAGGTTGTGGTTCTGTTTACCTTGCTGCTTCTTACACAATTGAAAGTTTCACTATCTGAGAGTCATGGCAGCCAAGCAGCCATCAGCTTTCACAACCCAGGCCAGTTCATCCCTGTAACCGTCCATTAGCTAAGGTCAAGTCCCCAGCACCTCTTAGGGCATCAGCATTACCACTCTCAAATTTCTACTGAACCACTGGCTTTTAAAGGACAATTTCTAAGATGTTAATAACCTTCATTGGTTAGATTTACCTCTAATGGATAGTAAAGTAATTGCAAAACTCTTATCTCATTACTTCAGCCTGGGGCACGGAGAAATCTGCTCTTACTAGCAGATTGCATTCAGGCAGTTGAGCTGTTTTCAATGTAGCACATAATTTTAGCACCTACACTCAAACAGAGGAAAAGTGCTACTAGAAGCCTTTAGTATTGCAAGATATTTTTCTCTTTTACTACTATTTCTTTTATGAATACTCTTTCTCTGTGATGCTTTTATTTCTGGATATATTCAGACTAAAACAGTTGAAAGTTTTTCATGTACTTTTTCATTTAAAGAAGCATCAAATACTCCCATTATATGTTAATCATTTTTCATGAATAGTTTGGTTCCTGATGCTAACAAATGATAGGAGGATAACATTCTACACAAGCATCATTAACTCTCAACACTTAACTGCTGTAAGGCCCAGGTGGAGCATCGATATTAATAATAATACGCTGGTTGACTTCTATTTTCCTTTGTACCTTTTAATACGGTGTAACATACTGAGCACCCATTCCCATATGCTGCTTTCTAACCAAATAATTAAGGAAAAACAACAAGGAAAAAAAATAGAGCAGAGGAGGTTTCTCTATATGCCTTTTTTAAGACACATCTGCAGAATCATGGTAAATAAATGATGTTTTGGGAAAAAACTTCCTCTATGCCTATTAGGACTTCCAATACTGAAGTGTAATGAGGATGTACAGAGGTGATTTTGCATCTAGCCTAACAGGCTGGTCATGAACCCCTGAAGGTGGATAGGATAACTGCTTGCATCCCAAAGGGCTTCTTTGACACCTGGGGATTGCAAGGTTTGCTCTCTTGACACAGACAGGGTAGTATCCACTCTCCCCTGCCCATACGAGAAAGATCCTGTCACCAAGAACTGCAGGCAAAATATGCACAGCAGTTAACTTGGCCAATAAGTAACTGCTGCAGAAAGCTTT